CTCCCGCCCCTCACCGGCCAAACTCAAAGGCGTCCAGATTGAGCAGCTTGAGCTGCGGCCCCTTCCTGCCTCCAAACTCCGATGTGCAGCTGCTGCCGATGGCCACCACTGTGATGGGCTCTCGCCGCACTATGATCTGCGAGGAGGGGGGGGGAGGCGGGGGGAGGGATGGGGCATGGGAAGGCGGGAAGTATGGTGGGGGAACGCGAGCAGCTGCTGCCGAAGGCCACCACTGTGATGGGCTCTCGCCGCACTATGATCTGCGAGGAAAGGGAGGGAGGGATGGGAAGTTGGGTACAATGGACAGAGCTTGAGTAAACTCACTTCCACCTTCCCCCCAAGCCCCTCCCCCAACTCAGACGTTCAGTGCAGCTGCTGCCGATGGCCACCACTGTGATGGGCTCTCGCCGCACTATGGTCTGCATGGGAGGCGAGGGAAGAGGGGAGGGATGGGGCATGGGAAGGCGGGAAGTATGGTGGGGGAACACGAGCAGCTGCTGCCGATGGCCACCACTGTGATGGGCTCACGACGCACTAGGATCTGCATGCGATGGAGGGATGTGGCAGGTGGTAGGATGGAGGGGCACCTGGAGGAGGGGAAAGAAGGTGCAGGTGGGCAGAGATGGTTGGAAATGGAGAGGCATCTGCTGCTGTTCCCCAACACCCAACGTGATGCCCAACCACCCAACGCGCCTTGTGCAGCAGGCGGTCGAAGCGCAGCATGTCCCCTTCGTGCGCGATGCCTCGCCTCAGGACGGTGCGCGGCACATGCGGACTCCACGGCGGCAGCTGGTTACCACCATCGCTACCATCGCCGCTGCGCTGTTCGTGAGTGCAATTCGCGCGCGAGAGAGCTGAAGGTCGGGGAGAGGCAGGCAGGAGGTGTGTGACCAGGGATGACGAAGAGCAACGGTTGACGCGTTGCACAGGGTAAAAGGGGTTGGGAAGAGGCAGGTGGAGGATCTGTCACCAGAGATGATCTTGTGAAGAATCTTAAACGGGGTTAGAGATCTAGATTCTTCGTCAGGAGGTAAATTAAAGTGGTACTACTCATACGTTCCTAGCTACTACTCATGGTACGTCGCATGACGCAAGATCACCTTCCACGTGGGACGCTGCAAGCTCTCTTCTCTGTGTCCCTCTGGTCTCCGCTCCCTCCCGCCTCTGCCTATCGCGCGGTTCCCCATCACCCGCTGCCCTTCTGCGGGGAATTGATAGCCCGCGGCCAGAGAGAACCAACAACAGAACGACAAGTGTCACCAATCTCGTCCTTCTTCTCAAAACATTCTCTATATAAAGCAGCCGGCCGGGCGTTCCGAACGCCATTGCTGCTTTCATCGAGGCGGCATCTCCAAACTGACCCTGGTGATGGCGGCCTGTGCTGCTTCTACTACTACTAGTAGCAGTGTGCAAATGGCGCAGATGAGAGTGATTGACATTTAGGTCTCCTGAATGTTGTTCACCGTTCGCGAACATCTCGTCAACCTGACGGTTGTTCGCCTAGTGTGCCTTTCCCGCGTCCCTGTTGGCGATCTGGTTTCTAATTGGACAAGTGCCGTCACCACCAACTTCTACCCTGTAACTTCTTCGTCACTCACAGCAATAGCAGTGGAATGCCACTTCTCGTCACGAAACATTTACTGGTAACCGAAATGCCTCGCGAAGTGCCGGCACCACCCAGTTACCAACAATCCCTAGAATCTGGATTCGTGCCTGCCACTGCCAAGCCAGCTCCGATACTACTGAATTACTTTCTGAAAACTCCTGTCTGCGTTTCCCAGATTTTCTCAGATTTGGGGGTATTCTGCGCTTTCAGTGGTTTATCTTAGGTGAACAGACACAATCCCGATCCATGGCTGACGCGCGGTCCGTCTGATCTCGTCACATATCGTATCCATCGTCGAAGCTATGGCCTCGACCGCTGTAGCTACCGTGGTAGCGTCGCCTCACCTAACAACTGAATTCATCGTCAAGCCCCTCGTGTACGACGCACTGGTGTAGCTAAGACTAACTTACGCATCGCCTTTTGTCGCCTCTACCCTTCACCTGTGTTCCTTAGCTTTCACCGTCCCGTCGTCTTTCCCGATCTCCTGTATTCTCGTACTTTGTCCTTTCAGGGTCCTGCTCAGCTTCGCATATCCGTTCTACGCTAGCTTCAAGGCTCTGGATTCGCAATCGTCGGACAACAAGGCGCAATGGCTCACGTATTGGACCGTCCTAGCGTGCATTAACTTTGTCGAATCCATCTTCTACTGGGTCCTCGTCTGGTACGTCGCACAACCGTCTCACAAGATGCCTGCCGAGTTGACTCAAGAGTCACCTCGGTCCTATCGTGTATTCCCTTCGTCGAATCATCGTCTACTTGGTCGTCGCCTGGTAGGTTCCACGCTGTCTCACTGATCCACTCGTCGTTCCTGTCAGAGCGAGTAATAAGATGAGACGTCTCAGAAACAATCTTACTACACGTGGTCCCCGCCTGGTAGGTTCCATCCACCTCCACGTCTGTCTCGCCGATCCGCTCGTCCTTCTTGTCAAAGCGACTTCAAAAATTCGGTTGGGGTTCAGTGGAATCTGGAAACACGACTGACTCCCCTCGCTTCGGTCAGCTCTGAAACTGGCCATGACGCATTGTCGTCTATGTCTGATTCTCTATGTGCGAGCTTTGAGATGTCTCAAATGTCGTCTCTCTTTGCGTTCCTGACACTAACCACTGGGATTTGCGTGCAGGCTTCCCATCTTCTTCTCACTCAAGCTCCTCTTCGTTCTATGGCTCCAATTACCGATGACCAAGGTCAGTCTGCCCCTGATTCAAATACAACCGTCCAAAAGTTCTTCCAAATAAACCCTTCCTTTATCGTCAATGGCGCGCTGACAATTTCGCGTCCTTAATTCGTTGCCTTGTACTGGCAGGGCGCCAGCATCATCTACTGGAAGTTCCTGTATCCGCAAATCAAGAAGCATGAAGATAAGATCGACAGCGCCGTGTCGGCGGGTCAGAAGAGAGTCATGCGCATGAAGGACCAGTGGGCCAGCATCCCGGTGAGTGGTGGCATTTTATTTGATTAAGGTAAGTCAACTCAACACAAGCACGAGGATAAGATCGACAGCGCCGTGTCGGCGGGTCAGAGGAGAGTGATGCGCGCATGAAGGACCAATGGGCCAGCATCCCGGTGAGTGGTGGCATCCCGGTGAGTGGTGGCATCCCGGTGAGTGGTGGCACCCCGGTGAGTGCAGCACCATTGTGAGAAATCAACACCTCCCTGTCTGGACCAATATTTAGGGCTCCATTGATTTTTTAGTCCTAAAACTGGCACTCAGTAAGCATGTCCTGGAAATCCTAGTTCTACCATCAAATGGAGAGCTGCTAGGGGAGCTGGAAATTTCGTGTCTATCAAAAACATCGGTAGGGGAGCGTTTGGCACTAGGGAGAAGCATCAGTCTGCTGCTGAAATTTCCACCACCCCAGTACTCCTCCCCACCATCTTTCACCCTCGTCTTCCCCTTCCTCCTGGCATGCCTTACTTACAGTTCCCACCGTTTCCCACCCCCTATCCCTCTCTTGATACGGCCATGGCAGGTCACGTCGTCGTCAGCCACAGTGAGCAGCCGGCCATCAGCAGCAGAGAGAGTGCTGCAGGAGATGAAGTTGGTAATTGAATCATCAAATGTATCTGCCAACAAATTCATCTCTCCCCCCCACCCCCCAACACACCCCTCCCTCCCTCCATCTCCTTCTGTGATATGGCCATGGCAGGTCACGTCGTCGTCAGCCACAGTGAGCAGCCGACCATCAGCGGCAGAGAGAGTGCTGCAGGAGATGGAGGCGGGGGATGCAGGGGAGAAGGGCGAGTAACAGTCTTTTACCGGTACTAATAAGTAGGGCGTTGAAGCCAAGTTCATACTAAAAGAAATCGTTATCTCTAGTTCAGTTGACAGCAGCTACGGTAAGTGGTACGAGTTGTGAAGGAAGGATGAGAGAAGAATGCATCTATCTAAGGTGCATTGTGCATAGCCTCCTGTCATACTAGCCCATGACCTAGAAGCCAGATCATATACTAGGCGTTTAAGATTAGAGCTAGTGGCAATCTATAACTGATCGAGTTGTCTACCATGCTCTGAGGCAATTTCTATTGCTGTGCAGTGCTATGTGAACCTGCCGCTGCGCTGGACCAACTGAGAAATCTCTGCTCCAGCCTTGGAAGACAACAGAGCTGGTGGATTTTTCTGAACCACAACCAAACAATCCTATTCATTTGGATGAAAATTCTGTAACACATACAGTAGAATCCTTTCTGCGAGGTTGGTACCGGTACCAACAAAAAGGCTGCTCTAAGGCACATCCACCGTCACTGCAGGCTTGCCGCGGCACGGGACAGCCTGGTCCACATCAGCTTCTCCTGGACCACCATTTCTTCAGGTGCCTCAGAGGCATTCTTGCAGCATCTCTCCTGCATGCTTTGGATCGGAGGAACCAGGGCCACGACCCCCCACAGACACGTGCAGCTGCGGTGGGGGGAGGTGTATGGTGTAGCAGCCCATCAATCCGGGCTTTGACCACTCTGTCAACCTGGCTGGCTGCGTCTATTTCCTCGTGCAGCACATGCATTGTGTATGAGCACCATCTCTTGGCCCCAGCTTCTCTTCCGCCACCTCCAGGTGCGCCAGTAATGCAGGGTGCACCAGCAGCACGTGTCTCCCTCACCAAGCAGCTAGTAAAACACTGTACCTTCCGAACCGCACCTACTTCTTCTTGCGATACAGCCCATCCCTGAGCTCCAGCTTCTCCTGTGCCACCAGCACCCCCAGAAACGAGTGCAGCTGAGCCAGTGAGCGATCATACGGCGGGTCGGACACAAACATCTTGAGCATGTTGTGGATGCGCTCTATAGGCAGGCCGTCGAACGTGGTGAGCATGCCTGTTATGAACGACTTGTGCACCGCACTCTCCTGCTTCCTCTGCGCTTCCAAGGAGGCCAGAACCGCTCCGAACAGAACCATATCTACTTCTTCTTGCGATATAACCCATCCCTGAGCTCCAGTTTCTCCTGCGCCACCAGCACCCCCAGAAAGGCGTGCAGCTGCGCCAGCGAGCGATCATACGGCGGGTCCGACACAAACATCTTGAGCATGTTGTGGATGCGCTCTATAGGGAGGCCGTCGAACGTGGTGAGCATGCCCGTTATGAACGATTCGTGCACCGCACTCTCCTGCTTCCTCTGCGCTTCCAACGATGCCACCATGCCTCCCCCCTCCTCCTCCTCACCATCATCCCCGATCAGCAACTCTCCGCCTGCTACCATATCCTCCCCCTCTCCTTCCCCTCGCAACCCACCGAGCCCAGCACCGTCACCACCAGCAGCAGTGGCGGCATCAGCATCACCATCTCTATCCCCACCAGCATCACCGGCAGCACCAGCAGAAGCAGGGTCGACTTGGTAATCCACAGCTGTGAAAAGAGGTTCCGGAGGTGACCGATTGGTCGCGACCGATTCGACTATCACGCCGTGATTCACCCAGAATGTGATTCGCCGACGCAGCACAGGCACCGACAGACCCACGGCTGCCGCCAGCTCAGATGCCGCCCACTGCGGTTTCGCCTCGTCCTCCTTATTACCTTCACCGTTTTCCACACCATCACCTGCAGATTCCGCCCGTTTCTCCTCTCCTGCTCTGGCCGTTTGAAATTTAAGGATAATGGCCGCCTGAACGGGTGTTACGGTGTACTGCTGCGTGTTACGCCCGTTACCAAACTCCAGCTCGATTGTAACGCACCCCAGGTTCGCCTTCCACTGCAGCTTGCGTGGCGCTTTCAGCGTAGCATAGTTGGTTGAATACTCCTCCATCAGCTTGGTTACCGGTGCTGGTAACCGCACCGATTCCTCCTGGAAAGCCGGCCAGAAGAGTGCCGAGACAATCGTAGCGTCCAGATTCTCTGCTTCTAGCAACTCCTCCGTCTCCTCCGGCTTACCCTCCTCTTCCTCCTCCCCTCCTTCCATCTCCACCTCCTCCTCCTCCCCAATCCCCCCTCTCTCTGCGTTCTCTTCTCCCCCTCCCTCCCCCCCCAGAGCATCCATAACATCCCAGAACCCCCCCTGCCCGCCTCTCCCGCTGCCCCTATTGCCGCCCATGGCTGAACTGCCGTCGCCTGATTGGCCGGGAGTCCGAGAAGAATTTCCGGGCTGCCCGCGATCTGCGGAACGGTCTCCGGAAAAAGTCGGTGTGCGGAGGTCTGGGCGGAGGCGGGCCCAGCGGGACAGAAGATTTGGCCGGGCTGCCCGAGGAGGAGGTGCAGCTGCCCCTGAAGAATCTGGGGAGGTGAATGTGCGGGTGAGAGGGGCCACAAGGGAAGCAGGGGCAGCAGATGAAAGGGTGGAGTGGGTGGAGAGACAAAGGAAAAAGAGGACAGGGAACAATGTGGCAAAGGGGAAAAGGTTACAGGCAAAAGTAAAGGGACAAGGGGAAAACGGAGAGAGGTAAAGGAAGAGAAGTGCTGGGTTGATGCTGTGGGAAGGACATGACATTTGCAGTGGTTCACGCCAGACTCCCCTCCTGTTTAGAGAAGTCACAGAACTCACCAGTGGGTGCCTGTGTTGCAGCAGCAGGAGGAGGAGAGGTGAACGAGTCTGGTGTAAACCACTGTGACGCCCCTCCCACTCCCCCTCCTCCTGTTGAGAGTCGTCTCAAAACTCACCAGTAAGAGCCTGTGCTGGAGCAGCGGGCGGAGGAGGAGAAGCAAACGATTCTGGAGTGAACCACTGTGACGCCCCTCCCACAATCCCTCCCCCTCCTCCTCCCTCCCCCCCTTCTCCTCCTCTCCCAGGTCGGTCTGGAGGGGTGGAGAACGATGCCATGCCCCTCACCACCAAGTGCTCTGGTGTGTGTGCCTGCGACCATGGAGATGAGCCTGACCCAGATACACCCGATCCAGATACACCTGCCACAGATACATCTCCCCCCGCGCCCCTGCTTTCTCTCTGTGCCGTTGCTGCTCCCCTCCCTGCCCCCACCACTGATAGGCCTGCACACGAGTGTGAAACCATTCGATAAAGAGGGGGAAAGGGAGGGGAGGAGGAAAAGTTGGTGGATAAGAACAATAGCAGCACGAGCACCAGCAGAACGGGCCTCTGCCAGCTCCTGAGCATCCTTCTCCTGCGCCTGGCCCATGGCCGCCTTCACTACCCTCCCCATCCCTCACCCTTTCCTCGCTTCCCCACCCTTCCTCCCTTCCCTGCACATGCACCACTCTCACCTCGTCTTCTCATGATGGCTTTCGAGCGAGCAATATTAGAACGCGCCTCTGCCAAGTCCCGAGCCTCCTCCCTTGCCTGCCGCATGGCTGCCTTCACGTTGCCGTTGATGCGCTTTGAGTCCGCCATGTCTCTCAGCATCACCTCACAGGCATGTAGGTTGGACTCGCCGAAACGAAGCTGTGATGCGGAGTTGGGGATGCGTGGGGAGAAAGTGGGGGGGGGTGGGGGGGAGACAGGGCGAGGGGGTTGTTGATGCGCTTTGAGTCCGCCATGTCTCTCAGCATCACCTCACACGCGTGCAAGTTGAACTTTCCGAAACGCAACTGAAAGGAAAGCACAAGAAAGGAGGAGGGGGAGTGCGGGGGAAGGGGTTGCTCCATCTCTTAGCACCACCTCCCTTGACCCAAACATAACCACCAGCACCCCTCCCCCCACACACATACCCATTTCAATCACGCACACCCCTTGAGCAAACACACCCACCCTCACACGCATTCCCTCTGTCCCCCTCCCGCGCACCTTGAGCACCTGTCCACCTACCTTAAGCAGCTCCAGAGTGCGCACGTCCCGGTCAGTGTGGTACCCAGCGCGCCCCACCAGCCTCTCCGCCAGCATACCTCGATACTCCCCCAGCAGCACCTCCCGCGACCCAAACACCCCTGCCAGCACGCGCACTATGTCCCTCGCCCTCTGCGCTTGGCCCAAGGACTGCCAGGGGTCTGCATCGATGGGGTCTGGCTGCCAGCTGCGGGCGGGGAGGGGCAGGGAGGGGTGTTTTAGATGACTCAAAACACACCAAATACCCCCGCCAGCGCCCGCACTATGTCCCTCGCCCTCTACGCCTGCCCTGACGACTGCCAGGGGTCTGCATCGATGGGGTCTGGCTGCCAGCTGCGGGAGCGGGGGAGGGAGAGTAAGGGAGAGTGCAGAGCATGGGTGCCTGATCAGATGACGCCTACCCTTACTGGACCCAACCCAACCCAACCAGACACCTGCACGCGCACTATGGCTCGCGCCCTCTGCGCCTGCCTGCCATGGGTCTGCATGGATGGGGTCAGACGGCCAGCTGCGGGAGGAGGGAGGGGGAGGAAAGGAGAGAGACCAAAGCATGTGGGCAAGCTCACCCCCACAAAGCGGTTAGAGGCATCTCTAGAATCACTAGCACTGCCAGCCCCACCACTCACCGCTCAGCAGCAGCATAGGCCGCAGACAGATCATCCCCTAAGCAGCCTCACCACTCAGCACCACTGCTCACCACTTGGCACCACGACTCACCGCTCAGCAGCAGCATAAGCCGCAGACAGATCTTCCCCCAAGCCTGCCCCTTCCTCCTCCCCCTCCCCACTCCCCCCCGCCTCCCCCTCGCCCCCTTCTGCTGCCCGGCTTAGCTCCTCCAGCAGTGACAGGTCACCCGGGTCCCCCGCCTCCCCTGCCACGTCATCTGCCACGTCAGCAGCGCCCTTGATGGCACCACCTGGCGCTGCAGAAGGATGCTGAGTCAGCAGAGTCATGATGCAGCGAATGGTGTCCCTGTGTTGGCGTGTAGTGAGGAGAATGGGGATTAAGGTTTGGGAATGGATGAGAGAGAGACAAGGTTTGAGGATGGATGGCGTGGATGGTTCACCTCCTGCTTTGCAGATACTGTCGAATGGGACCGCTGACTGCTTCCAGCACCGCCCCTGAAGGGTCCACCAGCCGCAGAGCATACCGTTAGTGGACTCCCCTCCACGTAGGCAGGCACTCACCTCACAAACACTCACTTTCTGCTTCGCAGGTACTGTAGAATGGGCTCACTGACTGCCTCCAGCACCACTCCTGATGGGTCCACCAGCCGCAGAGCCCGAATGGAGTGTGTCCAGCATACCACTGTTCTCGCCCCTACCACCACAGCACTCACTTTCTGCCAGTTTTGAGACGTCTCAAAACGCCCCTACCACCACAGCACTCACTTTCTCCCATTTTTGCAAACACTCACTTTCTGCCTCGCAGGTACTGGCGAATGGGCTCACTGACGGCCTCCAGCACCACCCCCGACGGGTCCACCAGCCGCAGAGCACACCTCTAGTAGACTCCCTTCCACGCACTCACCACCCCCACACCTTACAAGCACAACTCACTTTCTCCCTCGCAGGTACTGTCGGATGGGCTCACTGACTGCCTCCAGCACCACCCCCGACGGGTCCACCAGGTACAGAGCATACCATTAACCAGGTACAGAGCATACCATTCACCAGGTACAGAGCATACCATTCACCAGGTACAGAGCATACCATTCACCAGGTACAGAGCATACCATTCACCAGGTACAGAGCATACCTTTAGTGGACTCCCTTCCAGGCCTCACCTCCCCTGCTACCAGCACACAAGTACAACTCACTTTCTGCCTCGCAGGTACTGTCGAATGGGCTCACTGACTGCCTCCAACACCACCCCCGACGGGTCCACCAGCCTCAGAGCCCGTATCGCCGACACATACTGCTGCAGGATATCCGCCGTCGACGCGCCAGCTGTCAGCAGCCGATTGGCCAGTGCCGTCCGGAACGACGCAACCAGCCTGGCATAGGCGCTTCCCCCACCACCGCCACTGCCACCACCACCTCCCCCTCCCAGACCTACCCCATCTACTCCAATGGCTTCTCCCACGCCATCCAGACTTGTCAGGCCTCTCAACCCACTCCCTCCTTGTGTGGCCACGAGAGCAATGAGAGGCGGAGCAGCAGCCGCAAGGGCAGCAGTGACGCCAGCAGCAGCACGGGCGTCAGCCCCAGTGGCAACACCAGCGCCAAAACCATTGGAGTCAGCAGCAGCACCGCGATTCTCGAGACAGTCTTTAAGGTCGAGGAGGGCAGGGGTGGCGTCGGGGTAATCGACTATGATGTCAAACAGCTGTTCTGTACGCACTGAACACAGCTCCCTGCCCGCCACGTGGCGCAACCACGCGTGCCACTGCCGAAGATGTGCGGCTGAGATCGGATCTGACACGCGAGAACTACGGCTGGAGATGGCAGAGGAATCACCTCTGCTGGTGCTAGTACCGGTGGTGCTGGTCTTAGAGGTGACAGTACAGGTGGTGATAGTAACGAAGGGCAGGGCAGTGACCTGCAGCCACCGGTGCAGGCGGGGGAGGATCCGACGGTCGAAAACAGCTCCTGCCGATCGATGCACATGCGCCTTGAGACGGGAGAGCAGCACAGCAGACAGCACAGCATGAGACAGGAACGACAGCCCTGAGAACCCCAGAGCACACATCACTTGCTGCACGCGCCACACCCATGCCCGCCCCATCCTCTCCTCCAACCGCCCCGCCCAATACACAGGCGAGTCTGCCTTCCCCCCCTCCCCAGAAGCCCCACTGTTCCCATAAGCCTTACCGTCCCCACCGTCCTCCCCGTCCCCACCCTCCTCCCCTTCACCCTCGGCCCCATAGCCTTCGATACTCTCTCGCCCTCCAAACCTTCCCTCCCTATGCCCATCCCTCTCTCTCCCACCCGTGCCAGCAGCAGAGCCCAGCAAGCCATCCAGAACCGCTGCAAGCATCTCCTGCTCCGCTCCGCTCACTGCCGCCGCTTCAGACGCCTCTCCTCTGTCTCCCACTCCCCCCTCTACTACCCCTCTCCCCCTCGCTTCAAGTGCAGCCATTTCATCCTCCAGTCGCCTCCTCGGTCCTCTCCCCTTGCCCTCGCTCCCCGCCTCCTCTTCCCCATACCCAGGGAAGCTTCTGAGCATGTTCTGACTTTCAGCGTTCAGTAAAGGTGTGAGTCTTTCACCTGGGTGCTGGTGATACCTCTCCCCACCTGCGGTAGTCGTGGGAACCACAGGAGTGCTAGATGTTCCCAGTGGATTTGACTGTCTCTTTTCTGCTGATTCTTCTAAATTCCCTGCCTCCTCCTCCTCCCCTTCCCCGTCGTCCTCCTCCTCTCCTTCCTTCCCTTCATCTTCCTCCTCCTCATCCTCCTCCTCATCCTCCTCCTCTTCTTCCTCCTCCTCCTCGTCATCATCCTCAGTGTAAAGTGGGCGCATGCACGCAGAAACCTCCTTAAAGCGGGACGACAGGAACTCCTGCAGTAGCCCTGCCATACATACATGTGCGTGCGTCAAGGGAAGAATGCGCCTGGGTTAGACGTGAGAAGGTGGATAAAACGCGTGCAGCTGGGAATGCGTGCAGGTGGGAAGGTGTGAATAGGTGTGCAGGTGGGTGTGCGTCCATGTAAGGGCATATGGGCAACGCACACGTGCTATGCAACTGCGGTGTGACTGTGTGATTCAAGGTCTATGAGTACAATGCTAGTCCCACCATGGTCCCTAATGACCTGCTCCCAGTCATTCCTGACACCGCACTGCACCGCACTCACCGTACAGCTGTGGGGGTGTGGCGTTGACCAGCATGGCTTGCATACTCTCACTCAACTCCTCACCACTCCTCCCTCTACGCCTCCCCACTCCTCCCACTCTCGCATGTAGTGCACCGCACTCAACCGTACAAACAGCACTGCACTCACCGTACAGCTGTGGCGGTGTGGCGTTGACCAGCATGGCTTGCATACTCTCCCTCAACTCCTCCACTGCACCTCCCACTTCAACTTCCCACTCCTCCCACTCCTCCTCTTCTCCCTCCCCACCGTCCTCCCCACTTTCCTCCTGTTCGTTTCCCTCATCCTCCCCTTCCCCTTCCCCCTGCTCCTCCCCCTCCTCCTCCTCCTCCTCCTCCTCTGCCCCGTCCACCTCACTCCACTGATGACCCCACGTGTTCCCAACACCATATTTGGCATGGCATCGTGCCACCTCAGCTGCCATGTCAGCAAGCACAAGCATGAAAGCGTACTTCACAGAACAGAGCTCGTTCAGAGCTATGAGTAACTTCCTGGCAGCTTCCTTCTGCCAGTAGTGCTTACCCCCTCTCTTAGTAACCCGTCCTGCTCCCTTCCCTCCCTTTGCTCCCCCTTCCCCAACACTTGCAGCTTCCATGATACCACTCTGAAAGCGGGGCACAGCAGTTTCCTGAAAACTTCTCTGTACACAAAAAGGCCGTGGGAGAGGAAAAACGAGAATTTGGAATCGGAAGACCTAGTAACAGGAGCGAACAGAGGAGCCGTTGCAGCGCAAGTACTCGTTTTTAAGGCTTCCGATCAGTACAGTTAAGCAGCAGGCATGGGCTGACGCACACACTCCCACTCACCTTCAGACACCCGCTAACGTAATCAAGCGTCACTGGTCCCATGCCACGTCGGCACAGCTCGGCAAGATCCTTCCGCCTCTCCCCATTCCGCCAGAACCTCACAGCCCTGCGCTTCCGCCCTTGCACGTTCCACGCGAATCCTCCAATTGTGTCGTCGTTCTCGCTGCTTCCGTCGTCTTCCGACGCACTGTATGCTCTGATGCTAATCCGGCCGTTGATTCCCTCGATCAGAGCGCTCAATGAACGGTCCAGATTCCACCATGCTGTAGATATGGCGTGAGTCGCGGAAGGATCGAGGCCCAGCAGAGCGGGGTACCCGGATTCCAAAAAGGCCATTTCGTTGACGGCGATGCGAGGACGTTTCGCCTTGACGAGAGGAAAGGACATGCGAACCTCAATATCATCACATCCAGGAAAATCCTGGTTACTGGGCGAATACTAACGCGAATGCAAATGGGATTCGAGCGAATTCGAGGGGATTCAAGCGAATGAGTAATGGCGCAAGATGTGGAAATCTAATTCGTGCATGCTGCAGTGAACGATAACGGAGTATGAAGAATATGGTCAACCATGTACGGTCATTCCTGCAGCCATGTCCGACTTGGTTTTCGTTGGTAATGGTGGAGCTAAGCGATCAAACAGATCCATGGCTTGACGAAAGAAATATTTCTCGCACATTGATACCTGCGAAGAGTAAACCGTGACTGGTGTTACGTCTTTCCGAATTAATTCCTTTCGCGACAGGGACACACACAACACCTTCACAAAAAGTAGTGGCACATATACACAATAACAGTTTTTTTGCAGATGGTCGTCAACTTCACGCTAACAAACACCAAACCCAAACGAATCCCATCGAGGCACTCTCTAACGAGTCACGCAGATGTTCAAGCATTCTAAGTTCGAACCATATGCCACAGCAGATTTTCCCGTTTTTTCGCCTAACTGAGCCAAACCCAAACTGAAGCTCCAAAGCACATTTGGAAAAAGGATTTCTGTTTGCCATGGACGCAACAAGTCTGGATGTTTTGTTCCGCGGCTCACCCGTATTTCCCGCACGCGTGCCAGTGCCGCTTTTTTCGCTCTCCGTGACAGTTCCAGGTTCCCTGTCGGCCGTCACTCTGGCTCACGGCTAAGCGGGCTATACTATACCTGTAAATATCTGTCTTATACCATCGCACCTGAGCGTCCCTTTTTGCTAACAGAACCAGAAAACCGCATTCCTCCTCGCGTTAGAACCTGTGGGCTACCCTCCGGGCGGTTTCTCCGTGGCGAAACAGAGCCGCGGGATTTACCCAGTTAAATCAGTCTATTCGACCGCGAATAAAAACACACACAAGCTGCAGCGCCAGCTAGTGCATCCTACGGAACAAGCATCGCGTCGAACACGCCGCTTCTGCTTCTTCTGTCCGTCTAACGGCCCAGATGGCGTCCCTGCAGCCGTTCGATCTGACGGAGTTTCTGCAGCTGAAAGAGGCTGTACGTCCCGAGCAAGCGGAAAATGCCGCAGGGCAGACGGCCGCCGCGGCGCTCCCCGTGACCGTGGCGGAAACCTGCCGCGCGATGGCGGAGTGTTTGCGCGCAACGAGCGCGCTGATCGTGCGCGACCCTCGGTGCGCACAAGCGGACAACGACCGGTTTCTGGACATGATGGAGTCGTACTTTGCGCAGCCCAAGACGACCAAGCTTGCGCACTCGCGGCCCGAGCTCCACTATCAGGTACGACTGAAAATGCTTGGTGTCGGTCCGAAGCGGTGCTAGTGTTTTGCCGTGGGCCAACATGGGGTTGTTTCAGCTTTCCGCCGTGGCGCAAGTGGTCCAAGCGTGTCTCAACGACCGGTTTCTGGACATGATGGAGGCGTTCTTCGCGCTGCCTGTCGCGACCAAGTTTTTTTGTAGGCACCTCAAAAGGGGGTGCTTTGTTGACACACTTGGGCCCAAGCGTGTCTCAGCGACCGGTTTCTGGACATGATGGAGGCGTACTTCGCGCAGCCCGGGGCGACGAAGCTCGCGCACTCACGGCCGGAGCTGCACCATCAGGTACGGTGGCTGATAATAGCCTGGTCGTTTTCCCAAGCCATTCACTTCGTCGAGATCCCTAGCGGGTGTTCTTCCGCCGTCAGCGCTTCCAGTCACCCGCGTCTTTTCCTGGACTAGCGCCCTCTGTTTGTCGTGTGCCTTCCCCCACACATCCCCCCCGCGCCAACCCCCGCGTCTTCCCCTCCCCCACCCCGCGCCGTCCGACTTGCGCCATGCGCGGCGCAGATGGGAGTGACCCCCGAGGGCGTGGAGATGCCGCAGAGCGCGCTGGACGACGCGGTGAAGGCGCGCATGGCGCAGCTTCCCGCGGACACCCGCGTCTATCCGCCCTCTGTTTCCGGTGTGCCTGCCGTACCCGCACCTCCGCTCCCAATCCTCACCTCCCTGCCCCGCCCCCCCCTTCCTCCCCTCCCCCGCGCCCTCCCCCGCGCCCTCTCCCGCGCCCACTTCCGCGCCCTCTCCCGCGCCTTCCCCGGACCCGAGCAGGTGGGAGTGACCCCCGAGGGCGTGGAGATGCCGCAGAGCGCGCTGGATGACGCGGTGAAAGCGCGCATGGCGCAGCTCCCCGCGGACAGCCGTCCCCACGCGCCCTCCGGACCCGACTGCAAGTGGCGCTTCATGTGGCGCGTCGGACCCCGCCCCGCGCGCACAAGATATCAGGTGAGGGCTGATTAATGCCCCCCCCCCCTCCCTCCCCTTTCCTCCGCACAAGATATCAGGTGAGGGCTGATTAATGCCCCTCCCCCCCTCCCTCCCCTTTCCCCCGCACAAGATATCAGGTGAGAGCTGGCTTTTGAAGCGGCTCAGAAGTCGCCCTGCCCGCACCAGATACTAGTTTCGCGGATAGCTGCTGCCTCCGCGCCTTCCATTTGACATCCCATGTTTGCAACGCTGGAATGTGATGCGCCTTCATTTGACGTGCTTATACATGTTGTTCCTGTATCGGATGTGCGTGTAACAGGAGCTGAACGCGAGTCCAGTGGTGCCGGAAGGGTTCCCTCAGTGGGCGTCGGTGATGGATGGGTGGGGATGCAAGATGACTGCTGCAGTGGAGGTGAGGGGAATAGACGGCTAAAGAGAGTCTGAATTTTAATTTAGCCGCCTAAAAAATGGGTTCTCTCAGTGGGCGTCGATGATGGATGGGTGGGGATGCAAGATGACTGCTGCAGTGGAGGTGAGGGGGATGGATGGATGGCAAAGAGAGTCTTTTTTGAGGCGCCTCACAAATGGGTTCTCTCAGTGAGCGGCGGTGATGGATGGGTGGGGATGCAAGATGACCGCTGCCGTGGAGGTGAGAGGGATGGGCCTTGGGAGACTGACAGAGGGGCAAGGGGGAGGGGAAAGGGCAAGAAATTTTGATCGGAGAAGGGAAAACAGGCCAGAAGAAACTGAATCGGTTTGCAGTTTGCAATTTGCAGCTTGCTGCATTTTCCCGTGAAGTATGCTGATCTGTAATAATCAAATCTGATCTCAAGTGCCACGTCCTGACATGGGATGCATGCATGTGTTGATTGGCAGGCGGTGGCGGAGATGCTGGCGATCGGATTTGATCTTCCACAGGACTCATTCACCTGTCGCATGCACATGGTATGAAATGAACCTCTTCACATCGCAGTCTATCTCTCCGCCCACTATTGACCCCCATCTTTGCGTTGCATCTCACTTCACCTTTTTCTTTCTGTCCTGTTGCACTTATCCCTCTCTTCCCACCGCCCCCCCAGTTCCTGCACTCCCCTCGACCCACCTCCCCACTGCTTTCTCACCGTCGCTCCAACCTGCTGCCGCTTCTCCACCCCTCCCCAGGGCCCACACCTGCTGGCTCCCACAGGCAGTGACCTGGGAGAGCACAGCTCACCTGGAACAGTCCTGGCGGGGTATCATGCAGATCTCAACTTCCTCACCATCCACGGACGGTGCAGATTTCCCGGCCTCCGCATCTGGCTGAGAGATGGCACCTGCTGCCGTGTCTCGGTGCCTGATGGCTGCCTGCTGCTGCAAGCAGGGAAGCAGGTGGGTGCAGGGGAATGTGGTCTGCGCTGTTTCTGATGTGATATGACAGCTTTGAGACATCTGGTCCCTCAAGTCCTGCTTTTGTGGCACTACGATTAGCACCAGCAACTGCATTTGGTGTATGTGATGAGTTCTGCTGCTCTCCTGGTAACATGACGAGATTGTTGAACAACCTCCTTTCATCATCCTCCTGGTGTGGCATGTGTAACTTGGCAGATGGAATGGCTGACGGGAGGAGAGGTGCCGGCGGGAATGCATGAGGTGGTGGTGGATGAGGGCACAGTGGTGGCGGTGCAGAGAGCACAGCAGCAGGGACGCAGCCTCTGGCGAGTCTCCAGTACGGTACGTCGGAGGAAGGACCATTACCCAGTGCATTGTGATTTGAAGTTTACACAGCAGGTATGGTCTGGAGGTTTGAAAGTTGGAAGGGAGACGCTGGGGAAGAAAATGATTTTCTTGCAGCAGGTTTGCCTGATCATTCTTATTATGGCTGTCTTTTTTGCGCAGGTTTTTGCACAAATAGCATCAGATGAGATCCTCACGCCCATTGGGCACTTCGCCACTAGCAAACTGGCATCTAGCTTTCCACCCAAGCCTGCTGGAGAGTTTGTGGAGGAGGAACTAGCAGCCATTCAGTTGAAAACCACCAGTGGAGGTGGCTGAACTGTGCACATAATTGCTCACGGTTCATACACTGCTCATTATGCTTTCGAAGTGTCTCACAAATGTATACCCTTGGCCATTCTTGAATGGAGGTCATTCCACCCACCTGTACATCAATCTGTTGTCAGCAATGTCTTACTGCAAGCTGGCACAAGAAACTAACGGCCAGAGTCAAACTAGAATTTGTACTACAACTAGCAAATGAACTGCAACAAGAGGAGCAGCAGTACGCCAGCCACCTCATGCTGTGCAGCCATGTAAATGGAACAAAAGGACCCAAGTCTCTTAAAGAGCATTGACAAATTCTCCACTGCCCTCGAAGTCATCCATGTCATTGTCCATGTCCTCATCATCCCTCTCGTCATCCCTGTCATCGTTGAGGTAACCATCGCCGGAAGGCTGAGCAATGCCTGGAACCCGAGCTTCCTGCAATATCCTCATGATCTCTTCGATGCTTTGAGGCGGGTGGTTAGGATCATCATACTGGTAACCCGGGTCATTTTCATGCATCAGATCTGCTGGCAGGTTCCGCAAGAACCAAGGGTGCCTCTTGATTTCCGGCATTGTGATGCGCTGTGGACAAGGGGGGGGGAGAAGGGGGGGAGAAGGGGGGGAAGTGGGGGGATACAGGATGGTGAGAGTTATATCTATTTGTGAACAACCAAGACTACCTCCCAGCTAAATACTAAACTCACCTTTGTAGGGTTTGCTGTGAAGATTCTTGACAAAAGATGCTTGCATTCCGGAGAGAGGCGCACATACGGTGGAACGTGATACTGGACACTCATAATGCGCTGTAAGCAAGGCAACAGAAGAAGCAGACAGTCATGAATGCTGTGGGCGTGGGGAAAGAGCTGAAACAGCAGTAAAGAGGCAATGTAAACATACACCAATGGTTTTCCTGAAGTTTCGTGGGTCATCAGGGTCCTCAAAGGGATAAGCCCCTACAAGCATGACGTATAGTGTGACTCCACAAGACCACACGTCAGCAGTCTGCCACATGGAAAACACTTAAGTCAGACGAGGAAAGAAGCATTACGTGATGCTTTTGCAAAATTCAGTCAAAAATTGCTTACCTTTCCATCATACTCCTTCTTGGAGAGAACTTCAGGTGCAATGTAGGCTGGAGTGCCCACGGTGGATTTCGGTTGTGAATGAAGCAGGGAGGACTGAAAAGTAGAAAGAGGGGATACTTAGCGCTGGTTCACAATGCTACATCTCCAGCCTCTATTCCACACTATACCTTTGAGTAACCGAAATCGCAAATCTTCAGACGGGGTGCAGGACTTCCATCCAAAAGAGTGTTTTCAAGCTTCAGATCGCGATGGCAGATTTGCTGCAAACGAGAAGGGTTCATAAATTAGTATGCGACCGTTAACCTATGCAAGACAGATGACGCGGGTTATTCTCACCATGGAGTGACAATAGCTGATGCCAGCGACCAATTGTTGAAAGAAAAATCGAGCCTGAAAGACAGAACAGAATGCGTCAACAACTGCAACCCAAGCGCCAGTGAGAAGGAAGACGGATGACACAAATGCGTGAAACACGTACCTCGTCTTCGCTGAAACGACCAGCGTTGCAGATTCGCTCGAATAGCTCACCACCGGCCGCATATTCCATTATAATGGCCAAATGCTGCGGAGTGAGACAAACCTGGAAAATAACAACAAAAACAAAACCCAACGGTCACTAGCTGCACAACAACACGAGGAACCTAAAGCAGCCGAGGAGCAGATGGAAGATGAGCGACGCACCTCACGGAATCGGATGATGTTAGGATGCCTAAGGGAGCGATGGTTAATGATTTCACGCTGAACATTCTCGTCGATCTGCGAACATAAAGCAACCCTTTTGGAAAAATCAAAGACATGTCCAGCAAAACAAAGAGGCGATTCCAGCTCGGTTGGAGGAAAAATGGACGCAACGAATATGCACGTGCCTTGTCGCCACGCTCAATGAACTTCACCGCCACCATCTCCTTAGTTCTCTTATCTCGCATTAACTTCGCAATCCCGAAATTTCCCGACCCAATATCCTTGAGGATCTCATATCGCTCCATAGTTCCGCCAGCCAAAACAAAAAGCTTATTCACCACCAGACCAATCTAAATATCGGCCTGTGCTACCGACACGACAAACTAAACAGGTCAGCACCACAGTCGGACAGCCCTAGAACATTGTTAGAGCAACCTCATAGCACCATGCTAGGTTCCGAGGCTAGAAAGTAGCAGGAAGCAGTTTTAGGGCTGTAGGAGAGGAGTTGAGCGGGATGGGTGGTAACAAGGAAATGAGTGGTTTTGAGGCACGAAGGGGGGGAGGGGTTGCAGCATGACAACCCAACCCAACCAACCTTGCCAAGAACGGGGTAAGATGACGGAAAACGTTAGCGGCATGCAATCGTCACAATCAACTCCGTTAGAAAGAACGCGGAAAGAATCGAATCGTTGAGCCAGCCAAGCAGACCTTACTGGATGCCTGAATGCTTGGCGAAGGTAACAAGTATTTCAGGACTAATGGCGAAAGTATAGGGAGCAACAATGTTACAAGCCATCCATAGGTTCTTAGCATTTCCATGTCATCTATGTACATGGTGTGGGGCACAAAAATCAAAAGGCCCCTCAAATCAAACTAAACAATGAAACTGATGCAACTGATCGCATCAGAACCCTTAGGTGCCAACCTGGCCAACATCTCGAACCACTTAGCCAGAAAGAGAAAAAAAATGTTCAACCTGACGGTTGTTTCCCTGGGGTAGGTCTTTTGAGCCAACGAGCTCTGAAACCAGTACCAGCACAGTCAAGGCAACGGACAGTACCCTGCATAAGTGTGCCACAAAAGACACATTAGAACGACCATCCCCAACAAGTGGAGAAAAGCGAACGGATAATTCCTCATCCAAAAAAGAGACAATGAGTAGGTTCCTTCTCACAATGCTCTTTCGAAGAGTAGACTCACCTTCCCGCCGCAGATTACGCAAGAACTGCTCCGTGAGGATACCGAGCATAGCAGACTGTCTCCCACAATAAAATAGCCAGTCCCACGGCACCACTTGCACTCGATACAGCCCTGAGCCATGCACTCCTCGCATGCGACAGGACCCTGGTTCTGCTCATAAAAAAAAAACCAGAGATGGAAGAGAGCCAGGATAGTCAACAAAGTGGAGAGCGTCAGTCAGAATGCTATTGCTACAGGCGTATGCAGAAGAGACAGGGGTACGTAAGTAAATAAAGTTGACATGCATGTGTCAGCGAAAGCAGAAGGATGCACCTTTCTTATGCTCCAGGCTTGCTCGAGTCTTGCTGCAAATTCCCTTGACCTGTCAGCCTCGTCTGGTCGCGTGAAACTCCACTCGTCTGACGAGGCAGAACGTGTTGCTAACTTTCGCATCCGCTCGTTCTGGAGCACACACGAGCAACCGCGGATGAAGTAGCACGAGAACCGTCAACTCACAGTGGTCTGTTGACTGAGGCAACAGAGAAAATACCTAAACATGAACGACCGGAGGTGTAGCACGCAAGCAGCAGAAGAAAAGCACGTTCTTTACATGCCTCTGTAAAACGATTAGCGAGGGGTAACACTACTATGTTCTTCTGAACCATCCTTCTCGTCGCCCTCAAGCCGAGCCCAAGAGGTTGTGAATTCCAGCGAATTTCGCAGCATGCCATGATGGCAGTAAGCGGCAGACGGTCGCGGGGATGTTAGAACTACCAGAGCGTCACAAGGCGACCCTAGAGATGGCGTTCGTAGCAGACAAACGCGTGCGCATGTGGGTATTCCACTGACGTAAAAGACACGGCTGTTTATGAGACGCGAATGCTTGCAACAAGCATTCAGGCCCGACTGAAAGCCAGATGCTCGATTGCCTTCGCTCTCGTCTGTCTGCCTAGGCGGGACCGCTGCAAAGAATGGAAATATCTGTCCTCGATACAGATTTCCTCAGTCACAAACTATGCAAGTGGGCAGCTACGTTATTGGTAAACCCCCATCAAACAATTTGTGGGATGTGATGGTGCAAGAGCGATGCTTTGCACGACTCACGAAAACGGAAACTGTGAAGATGATCATGCACCCATATCTGAGATTTTCCTATGAACAATCAAGAAATCAAGCAGCAGTGCACTGACTAAACCCGTTATTTCCAATTGCAGTACACCTCAAACAGTGAACTCCCGCATGAATCTATCATGGAACTCAGCAAACCGCTCCATCATTCCCGAGATCTTATCTTCACTTGGCAAGATCGTGAACCGCACGTGCCATGTCCCAGGATCCTGCCCGAAACCTGATCCCGGTACCACAACAATCCCTGTGGCGTCGAGCAATCGGCGCGCGTAGAAAGTGTCTGCTAGCATGCCCACTGCTGCTGCTGCTTCCACTGCTCGCGGGGGGAGGTGCAGCCTGGGGAAGGCGTACATGGCGCCTTCAGAGGGGTTGCAGGTGATGCCTGGTAGTGAGTTGAGCACATCAACCAGCAACTGGAAGAGTTGGGAGTAAGTGGGGGGGGGGACAGGATCGCATGAGTGAGAGGTGAAGGGAAAGGCAATCTGGGGAAGGCATATATGGCACCCTCGAAGGGTTGCAGGAAATGCCTACACGAGTGTTGAGCAGTGAGCACATCAACTGCTGCTACTGAATGGTCACAAAGTGCTGCTGGCATCGTGACCGAAGTACCAATTGCTTGGTGCAACCATGTACAACCATCGTGGTGGCATGCGACACAGACACGGACCTTGGCACGACGAGCAAGTGAGGAGAGGATGGCATCCCTCTCTGCAGCAAAGACAGGAAAGGCATCGTCTCCCTCCTGCAAGCATGCAACGTACACACCCGCAGCAACCAATAAGCACACACCCACAACACACACGACCACAGGCATTCACATGCACAGAGGCAATCATAATGCAAAGACATGCTATGAACCCAAGTTGAACCTGAAAAGTGCATAAACAGCACTCTTGCCAAGCATGGCAAGAAACAAAATCAACTGTTGCCTGGAATATTGCAGAATGTGGAGAGAAATACAGTAGAGAAACACAATCAAGAGAAACTTGCCTGAGGTGGCGAGGCAATGAGTGACATGAGGATCTGTCCTGGCACGTTGGAGCAAAGATTCACTGAGGCCATCTTGTACATGGCCTCGCGCACCTCAGAGGGCAGACCTGCATGGGCGCATGCATGGGGTTGCTTTGGTGATGCAGATGCATATCGCAAGGGACGTTCAAGGGTACCTCACCGTGAATGCTCTAATCTTATGATTGCGATCCAAAGCCATGTAGCATGCATGCATCGGGAATAAGACAAGACGGGGGAGTGATGGCCAGGTGTGGCAAGTGCCAGCAGACACAAGTTGTCTCGCACAAGTTGCCACATCAGACTACCACAGATAGTCCCAGTTACCTGTAACCTCCATGTAGCCTCCTCTTCTGCCACACTCGCCATAGAACCCTGCATACACACAGGCACGGCAAGGCAAGGAACTTATGTCACTTCAGATTCGTGAACAACTGGCTTCAGCCTGAACCATCTCTTGAGCAGCGAAGCCAGCAACTGGACGCCTAGGTGCTCACCTTTGGAGGAGGAGTGGCAGGAGATGAGAGCAAGGTCAGAAGCACCAACGCCCATGTCCCTCGCGACCTTCTTGAAGGACAGGAACTTGCGGTCGGGTGCGTACACATTCTCCTGGTACACCTCGTCTGCGATCAGCACCAGCCCCTTGTCCACACAGAAACGCACTATTGCCTGCTGATCCGCCTCCTCTAGCACCTGCCAGGAGTGGGGTACGAGGCACAGGGCACAGGGCATGGGGTATGAAGTATGGTACGGGGAATGGGGTGCGTACACGTTCTCCTGGTACACCTCATCTGCGATCAGCACCAGCCCCTTGTCCACACAGAAGCGCACTATTGCCTGCTGATCCGCCTCCTCTAGCACCTGCAGGGAGTGGGAGACGGGGCATGGGTGCCAAGGCACAGAGCAGGGGCACGCAGCACGGGACACGGGTATGCGAGTACCATCGCGACAGGCAATAGTGCGCTTCTGTGCTGAGAAAAACAGGCTTCTGAGTTGAGCCCGACCAATGTTGCTCCCCTTCCCCTGTTGGTCTGCTCGTTACAGTTACATTGCACTGCACTGGTGCCTGCCGATCTGCTTCTACGATCTACCCTCACCTGCCCTGTGGGGTTCCCCGGGTTAATCACTCAGTGCACCCGCACGTAGGCGGGTTGGCCTGAGTGGGCTCCTGAAAACACCTCAAGCCCTGTGGACTCCTTTGGTTCTCACCTGTCCGGTGGGGTTCCCTGGGTTGATCACACAGAGCGCCCGCACACAAACGCCCTCCTCCCCTGCCTTCTCCACCGCCGTTTGCAGATGGGCGGGGTCGAGCCTCCAGCGCGCCCCTTCGTCTAGGTAGTAGGGCACTAGGGTGCCTCCGTTGAGTGCTAGCGAGGCTGAGTATAAAGGGTACTGCGGGATGGGACAGAGCACGCCGTCCGCCTTGCTGCGCACTAGAAGCTTGAGGATCATTTGCACCTGGCGGTGACACGTGGGGGCAGATGGGGGGTGGAAGGCGGGGGGGTGCGGGCAACAAGGGAACAGGCAACAGGAGAAGAGTTATCCAGGAAGCATCTGACAGCAGTAATAGCAGCAGCGCTGGCCCCATCTGACACACATACAGCAGCAACTGACACACGGACACACATACAGCAGGGTTGGCGCCATCAGTGAGAAAGACATCATGACCGAGGCAGCATGGCCGTCTCTCCTCTACAAAGCGGTGACAGCACTGACAGCACTGACAGCCGTGATAACAGTGATAACAGTGATAACAGCACTAGCAACAACAGTAACAGCAACAAAGCTACACATACAGCAGGGCTGGCGCCGTCAGTGAGAAATATATCATCTGCCGAGGCAGCATAGCCGTCTCTCCTCGCAATGCCCTCAGCCACCACCTGCCGGCACAGCGGCAGCCCCTGGCTGTGGCTATACGCGCCAGTGGCAGCACAGGGAATGGAGTCCAGCATCTGCTGCGCTCGCTGCCTCGCCGTGGCACTGAAAGGAGACGAGCCGTCCGGATTCTTGCCGTGCATAAGAGAAGGGTGGTCGCAGAGAGCCAGGACCTTGTGGGGTTAAGGGGGCGCGGACGGGAGGAGAGAAGGTTGGAGAGGGGTTGGGATGGGAGTGAGGGTTCCGTGTGCTTCCCTGACTTAGCACCTGCCGGCACAGTGGCAGCCCCTGGCTGTGGCTGCACGCGCCCGTGGCAGCACAGGGAATGGAGTCCAGCATCTGCTGCACTCGCTGCCGGGCTGTGGCACTGAAAGGAGACGAGCCGTCCGGATTCTTGACGTGCATAAGAGAAGGGTGGTCGCAGAGAGCGAGGACCTGGTTGGGGTGAAGTGGAGGGATGAGGGAGCGGAGGAGGCAAGAAGTTGACGGCGTGAAGGGGGCGGGAAAGAGTATCTCCACCAAATCCTGTGCCAGCAATGGCTCACCTCACACACACAGACGCATTACCTGGCTGCCGCTGCAGGCAACTGTGGCAGCAGAGGCAGCAGGAGGCCTGCCTTTGAGGCGTCCCGGAAACAGAGGTGTCAGGCACCTGTGGGATGGGACCGTTTCATTTAACGTGGCCATGGCATGGTATGGTAGGGTACAAGGCCGTGACATGGCATGGTGCCTACCTTGTTCAAGGCCGAGGCTCACGCTCACCTCTCTGTAGAACGTGATGGGTGGCTGCCCAAGAGCTTGAGGGTTGCCGATGTTGCAGTAGACGATCTGACAGGGTGAGGGGGATGCAGAGAACAAGGATCAAGGGTGAACCGTGTCCGCAGTCCAGAAGAAATTTGGCGTTAAGTGAAGGTCCACGCAAGATGGCTATTATGTGGTAGAATGCTGCAGATGTGATATCAGTGAAATGCCTTAAGGGAAGGAAGCAGGGCTGCTGACCAAACGGCAGATGGTGCAGCTCTGATGCAGAAAATATCTCAAGATCGCATGATGATCATGCACCCCCCCGCATGATGATAATGCACCCCCCCGCATTATGATAATGCATCCCCTCACATGATGATAATGCATCCCCCCGCATGATGATAATACACCCCCCCGCATGACGATCATGCATCCCCCCGCATGATGATAATGCATCCCCCCGCATTATGATAATGCATCCCCCCACATGACGATAATGCATCCCCTCGCATGATGATAATACATCCCCCCGCATGGTGATAATGCATCTCCCCGCATGATGATAATGCACCCCCCCGCATGATGATAGTGCATCCCACCACATGATGACAATGCATAACACTTCGTCACAACTCATCCCACCTCATCAAAGGGCAGTGAACCCGGCTTCGCTACCAGCTGAAACTCGAGCATGAGCGCCCTTGCGACTATCTCGCCTCGCACTGCGTACTCGCACTCGCGCACCTAGTGGGGACACAAATAGGCGGAGGAAAGAGAGGCGAGGGAAGGAGATGCGATGTAAGGAGGGACGAGGCTTGGAGGAAAACCAGCAACCAATCAAGCAGGAAGTAATATAAGAGCAGGATGGGTACGGAAAAAAGAGAACGGAAAAAAGTGTGCTGAGTTGAAGAGCTGTTGTCTAAAGGAATGTGGTACCAGCGGGTTGATTGTATCGAGGGTTAGCGGAGGAGCTCGAGGGGACAGCAGGCTTGCCAAGCTGCTGCTGCTGTAACCCCGCCTTCCTGCCACGTCACCACGCGCCCTCGCCACGTCCAAGCGGGGCTTGGCTACGTCAGCAGCGTCGCTCCTGCCGTGTATTTCAGTGGCATCTCGAACGGCGGAACTCCCGAGCGCGGGACTCCAAGCTCGTCGCAATCCCGCCGCCAGTCCCGCGCGCACGACCCGCTCCGCGCGCGACGACCGGAGGAGCAGCGCCATGATTTCGAGCACTCAAGCCTCACTTCGTGCCAACGGCTCGCGAGTGCCTCCTGAATTTGTAGAATAAAAAAAATGAACGGGCTTCGCGGCTCGAGCTTCCAGGGCCAACGACTCGTCGGTTAAAGGTAAGAGGTTATTATAAAGGCCGAAAGCCTCGCCTCGTGCCGTGGTAAGTCTTCTAAACGACAGTGGAGTGGAAGAAACAGGCCGGTCAGTTATCCTGCCTGAGCTCCTGCTCCAGCTCCTGCCTAAGCTGGTTGCGCGTGAAGTGATGCCTGGACATCACCTTGGGACTAGCTTGAATTCCCTGAAGTGATGCTGGTGACAACACATTCGCGCCAACATTTGCGTGGCGTCTGACAGGTGGTGCTTGCAGGGTGCACGTGATTTGACAGGCAAATCCAGTTGTACAGTACGGTATGTCAAAATCCCAGAGCCAGGGAGAAAGCATTTGGAGGTTGGAATATCAGAGCCAGGATAAGTTATACTAGAGGAATGAACAGCTGCGTGAAAGCAATGAAGTAGCCATTAACGAGAATAAACAGAGGAACCAGTGTCCCACACGTTTGCGTGCGGCTCAATGTGGCGGTTTGGGTTCCAGAACGGTCCGCTCATGTATACCGAATGGTCGGTTGCAGTGCTGAAAGAAAGTGAAATTGGTGAAAGCGACATTCCCCATGGATCAGATTGGAACAGTTGCTTCATTTCAGCACGGCAGCTTGAAGCATGTGCGTGCCTTCCTCTTACTGTACCTTTGTCTCTCTGGTCTGCACTGAATCATTCCTGCGGCGCTTACATGTCTTTATTGGCCTAGAATAGCTCGAGTGTTCTTCCGTCACAAAACTTGTTAGTCGTCGTCAGGCAAACTAACGCGTTCATTGATTAGCTTCAAGCAGAGCGATAGATATTGCGTGTCAAACGCCAGGCATTTACGAAAATGCTGAATCAACCGACTCATTGACAACGGTCAGCACCATGATCAGCGTCAACAATGCATCAATCAACTGACTGACGACTCTTCGGACGCGGTCTATGCCGGGTAGAGCATCATAATTAAAAGAGCCGATAATCCAGAGCGAGCCGATCAAGACCGTCGATCAGAGATCAGTGATCAACGATCGACGATCAGCATCAAGCGATCAGCAGTGATCCGCGATTAGCGTCAGGAGCATTAGTTAGAGGGCGAGGTAGGATGTGCATCGGATTCTGCACCGGCTGCTGCGGTGCTTTCGCCGGTACCGCCTTGGGTCACTGCCTCTGCTCCTGCTCCTCCTTCGGCCCGTCGCGCGTCGCGACGAAGTTCTTATATGGAGGGATGTTCCTGGCCTCCGTTGTTGTCGCGTGGGTTCTTAGAGACTACGCCACCGATGCGCTGTACAATCTCTACAGTGAGTGCGATCCGCACACTACATTCGGAACTAATCATAGTGATTCAGTTATTGGAATGCTGTGGTGGTAACAACGTTTGCATTGCGGAGAAAAGCCACATTTCATTCTTCGTTGCTTTTCTTCCCGTCACGGTTTGTAGCGCGGCCTTTTTCCCCCCACCTTCCTTTCCTCCTGTTTTCCCACCCATTCTTCTCATCTCACACGAAGCACGAATCCTCTTCGCCTGGTCATCCCCTCCCCCCGTCCCTTCTGCTCCTTCTCCCCACCCTTTTGCGCCCCGTACTCCCTTCCCACCAGGCTTCCAGTCGTGTGGGCCGAACAACCCCGGGTGCGTGGGAGCGCTGGCAGTGCTGCGTGTGAGCTTCGGCCTGTGCCTCTTCTTCGCACTCATGCTCGCCACCACCGCCGCCGCCAAGCTCGAGGGCGGCTGTCGTGACCTCTGGCACTCCAGCTGGTGGCCTCCCAAGCTCATCCTCTGGCTGCTGCTGCTCTTCCTCCCCTTCCTCCTCCCCTACCGTATGTACGCTCTTTTCTCCTCCATACCGTATGTCTGTTGTGTGCTTCCTCCTGCTTCTGCGCATGTCCAGCTCCTGTGTTCTTCTTGCCTCAGTCCTGTTACGGACTGGATCCGTTTGTTCATGTTCACTGCTTCATCCCTCACTCCCTCCCACTGACGCTTCGGTCCTTCTGTGGTTTTCACCTGACCAGAGGTGTTTCAGGTGTATGGCGAGGTGGCAATAGCGGGAGCAGCAGTATTTCTGGTGATTCAGCTCGTGAGCATCATCAATTTCATCTACGTCTGGAATGACTCTTGGCTCAACAACGATAAGATGTGAGAACTTTCGCTCAGTTTTCGACCGTTCCAAACGCTTCGATGCTGGTGAATGTTCACTCATCATTTGTCTTGTAGATGCACAGATATGCACAGAAAACTTAGTGTATGGATACTTGTGTAAAAGTATCACCCACTCACGCATGCATGCATGTCATGCCATGTGTGTGTGCAGGCACAAATGGATGGCGGTGGTATCAATCGTGTGCTACCTGCTCTTCCTCACAGGCATCATCCTCATGTATATCTACTTCGCGCCCTCCTCCTCCTGCTCGCTCAACATCTTCTTCATCACCTTCCTCCTCGTCCTTGTGGTGGCTCTTACCGCCATCTCCGTGCATCCCAAGGTGAGCCGCCTGTCCCAAAGTGAGCCGCCCGTCACAAGGTGAGCACTCCTAATAAGACTGTGGCTCACCTTCTCATTGTATTTTTCATGGTTCACGCCACCTCTGTCCAACCCAGAGTGTTCTTTCCTGATCCTGCATAGCCCGATGCTGCATATCTAGGTCAATCACGTGATGAAGATTTTTTACTGTAAGCACCTGGTAACCTCCTATCCCACTTGCATGCATCTGCATCTGTATGTGTGTGTGTGCAGGTGGACGCAGGGCCTCTCACCACAGGCGTCATGGCGGTGTATTTCGTCTTCCTCTGCTGGTCGGCAATCATGAGTGAGCCGCCCGCTGAGGCATGCAACACTCGCCCTCGCCAGACCGGATACGGCGGGTGGCTTGATATACTGGTGAGAACATTTCAAGTTGCTATTTTTCCACTTCACACACTAATTACTCATACTTGAATTCGAATGACATGCACACATCCAGCAGTCGACAAACATTTTTTGTAACTGACAAACTGCTACTTATGCTTCATTCTTCCTTTCATTCTGCCTGTGCCACTCAGGCGTTCATAGAGGCGAGCATGAACATGTTGTACTTATTCTCCTTCTTTTCCCCCTCCCCCCCGTCTTCACAACACACAGGCATTTATAGTGGCACTCATAAGCATCGCCATTTCAGTCTATGCCACAGGAGTCGACTCCCGTTGCTTCTCGCTCCGGCCTAAAGACGAAGAATCCGCCGGTAACGGAGAGGTGCCCTACGGTTACGGCTTCTTCCATCTCGTGTTCCTTACAGGTTCAATGTACATGGCTATGATATTACTGGGGTGGAATATGAATCAAACCCCGGTTGAATGGAGCATCGATGCTGGTTGGATTAGCACCTGGGTCAAGATGGCTTTGCTGTGGTTATCTGCTTTGGTTTATCTGTGGACGCTCATTGCTCCCTTTGTGTTAAGGGCTAGAGAGTTCAGATGATTGCTTGCCACCCACCCTTCCATGCAAGTCATGGTAAGACGTGTTAGAATCCTAGGCAAAGTTGGTATTGAATGTCGAGAGTGTTGGTACAAAAATGAAACCTAAGGGGTTGTACCCCACAGTGAGTACCCCACTAAAGCCTATCTAAACTACAACATATAAACATATGTTTGACACCCTATAGGCAAAGTGGGGGAGAACAGAGGGTCACAAGGCCAGGTAGGAAGTGCAAAGCAAGCTCAGGGTGGATCACAACGTCACCACGCAGTCTGAGCACAAGCAAAAGGCCACAAGGCCAGTTCACATGCAGAGATATATATGTAACAACAACAGCACAGTGATATCTACCTAAAAGAGCAAGCATGCAGGTATATATATAGATCACAGTACAAACAAAGCCTACAGCAAGTGAGGAAGCGTAGGCACAAGGCCTAACAAAGTGCAGAAACGCTGATGATCACCAGGCGGAAGCGCCTTGGTGAATATATCAGCAGTGTTGGCGCGAGTGGCCACGTAAGTAAGACGAAGCTGGCCACGCTGCTGCAGCTCTCGAGCAAGGAAGTAACGGAGAGCGATGTGCTTTGTTCTGTGCTCCAGTCTGTGCTCCTGACACAAGGCAATGGCGGCCTTGTTGTCGACGTACAGAACTGGAGGAGAACGAGGCCGCTCTCCCAAGTCGGTCAGCAGGTAGGTGAGCCAGCGTAGCTCCTGCGCAGCCATGGCTGTGGCGTAGATCTCGGCCTCACAGCTGGAGCCGAGAACTGAAGACGAACGTGTAGAACGCCAGGAAACTGAACCAGAACCATGGCTGAAGGTGTAACCCTGTGACGACCGCTGCGTAGCCTGGTCGTCAACCCAAGAGGCGTCCGAGTGACCAGTGAGGACAACGTCACCCCGTCCTCCAAGCACGAGCCCCATGCCCGATGTACTGCACAAGTAGCGTAGTACCCTCTTAGCAGCATCCATGTGCACCTTTCGGTGCCGACCAGGAGCCACGTAGCGAGCCAGAAGGCCAAGAGGGTATGCAAGGTCAGGACGAGTGCAAGTCATCAAGTACATGAGGCAGCCCACTAGCTCTGGGTAAGGACCACTCGGCTCTACGGACTCGTCCGAAGGTGGAGCTGAGAGCGAGTGACCTGTAGCCAGAGGAGTGGCCTGTGCTGAGGACCAGGTGAAGCCGAAGCGCTGAAGGACCTGCTGCACCATGTGTGACTGAGTCAGTGTGATGGTGCGGCGTGCTCTGTCCCGGGTGATCTGCAAGCCAAGATAGCTGTGCAGTTCACCCAGGTCTGTGCACGTGTGTCTCTTCTGCAGCTCCGACTTCACCAGGGCGAGAGCCTCAGTGTCAGCAGTGGCAAATACCAAGTCGTCGACGTACACGAGGATGTAGAACGGCGGCAGCGAAGTGTCGGTGCGCAGAAACAGTGACGGGTCAGCAGTCGACGGAGCAAACCCAAGAGC